TTGTAAAACACTTTGAACATGTAAAATGACTAATAAACGTGTAGGCGTTTCAAATATTTCAGGTTGCTCTTTAACAGTGTCAGGAGTTTCCCTCGGCTTTCCAGTGTTAGGGCAGGAGTGGAGGGCTGGGGGGACCCCTCTGGGAAAACATCCAGCAGGTTCATTCCCATTTTATTCCTTCGACTCCAAGTGAAAACATTGAATATGAACCCACATAATGAACTATGTGTCCTTCGCAGCCTGTTTTTGGCCATCACAGCTCCAGGTGGGACCAACAGAGTTTCTTTTTAAAATCTCACTATTCTGGAGGAGTCGCTGAGGAGCCCTCAGGCAGAGGGGAGATCTTCTCTTTGCATGAGGGGCATTTGGGGTGCATCCCCAGGACAGCTTCATCTCGTCTGCCAGCAAGCTGCCAAATGCTGCTGCACGGGGCAGACATGCTCCTGGGAAAAGCAAGTGGCTTATATAAAAGTTTCATCAATTTTAAATGACAGTGTTATCTTCCTAACAGGATGTTTTAGGTGTAACATGCTCTACATAAGCCTTTTAACTCGCCTTGTCAGGAACCATTCTGCCTTCTTCTGGTGCGCACAGAGAGCCTGTCGCTCAGCAGGCATTGAGGGGAATTGTCGGAAAGCCAAACGTGGAGAAGCGATGGGAAATCATCCCATTTTTCCCTTCCACAGTGGGATGAGTGATGTCCAGGGTCGCGTGCTGAGGCACTGCCAACTGTCTAATGCACAGCTGGGACTTCAACTCCCCCAGGGCATTGCACACCCCGAGCCCCCGGCCACCGAGAACGGCTGGGCTGGGAAACGAGGGGACCAGCCTTGAATCTGGAGTCTGGATAAATAACAGCTCCTGAATACTGAATTAGGGGATCCATTGCCGTGGCGTTGAAGCCTGTCATCAGAAGAAGACGGGCTTCCAGCCGATCCCGCAGATCAGCTGATGAACCTTTGCCTGCCCTGAGCTGGTGTGAGAAGTGTGTGCGCTGCTGGCAATTATATTGCTATTTATTCTCAAAGTGATAGGGAGCCAACTGATCTTTAAAACATGCTAATCTGATTTTACAGGAAAGGCTGTTTGTTATTGCACAGTACATAATAAATATAATTTCTGTTGGTTGAGTTAGATTTACCTGACTTCCTCACAAAAATGTACCAATAGCACAGGCCAAGTCTGAGAGGTCATAAAGGGAATGTCCCGTAACAGGAGCAGGGGATGGGGTGTTAACCACCATACGGAAAGGCATTGCAAGCTCCAGAGGTGTGCTGCCTTGTTAGAGACGTGCCTGAAACCACGTGGAAAAAGGGTGATCCTCCAGCCAGGCTGGACTGGACACGGGAGATGTGCATTGCTCCAGTCTGTGCCGGGGAGCACAAATAATGTCCCTTCCTCCCCCTCCCCTTGGTCTGTGGACTCGCTGGGTGGGTCAGTAACTGCTTCGATAGCGCACATGGAATGAGCGGGATGCTTGGCTGGTGTGTTATCCCACATCGACTGTGGACCACTGCTCCAAGCTGGAGACAGGCATTTTCCATTTCCCTCGAGGGTCTAGGCAGGAGCCAAGGCACCCACCTCCCCGTTGTACTGCTGTTGCAGGAGGGACGGGGTGTGCAGGGGATGGCTGGGCTGTGCCTTTCTCCCCGGAGCAGCCCGGCACAGCCACCGCAGCCAAGATTTGTTACCTTGAGGGCACCATGTTTCTCCCGACTGCCACTTTTCCAAGGAAGGCAAGTTCAGCACTGGCTGTCGGGGCTGAGCCTTGAGAGGCAGAAGCCATGTGACAAACAGAGGTAACTGTGTGCTGGGAAGATTTATCTAATATAAAGGGGAAGAGCAATATGCATGCACGCTGCAGATGGGACTAGCGCTGAGTGTGGATTTATAGGCAAAGAGTAAATAGGAACATAGGGAAACGCTTTCCCTTTCTCCATAAACTTTTCAATTTCAGAGAGGCCAGATATGATAAAATTATCTTGCAGATGGAGGTTTTATTGAATCTGGCCCATAAAGCTCCCATTATGGGGTTTACAACTGCCATTTACACAAATCCTGCTATAATAAAATACAGTGGTGTTTACAGCATTCCTGCAACTGCCACAGAATTACAGTGTGCACAAAACCCAACGAGTAAATCTTGGCTTATTGCGCCAGGCACTCCACTGACAACATAAACCCGCAAAACTTGGGGGGAAAAAAAGGAAAAATGCAGAACTAGGAGGAGAAGGTTGCTTGGGCGATAGGAGAATTATGCCTGCTTCTTGGCCAAGATACCCCAGGGAAATACCATTGATTTACAGCCCTCACCCTGCCCTTCTTCAATGCAAAACATAAATATGCTTCCAAAAGGTGCTGCATGACCTCAGCACACAGCTGTGGGGATCGACCGGGTATTACTGGCAACTGGGTGATCCCAGTCGTTAGCAGCATCTGATCCAGCCTCAGCAGAGAGCCAAGCTCAGGCTGGCTGAGGCCTTGCTGAAATTCAGTATAAAAATCTCCAGCTGGGTCCTTTTCCCTTTCCCATCTGCCTTGTGGATCCTGCCTCAGTGCTTGCAGCAGAGTGCGTGCTGAGTAAGGGTGGAAGCTGGGAGGCAGCGTTGGTGGATTGTGGCTGGAGAGGAAGGAGGCTGAACGGTTTGCTGAATGAGTGCAAGCACCTGAAAAGCTTCTGGTTAAGAGCTGGATATGGGGGAAAAGGGTGAATAAAGGCTAGATGTAGACTGTCGGAAGGACTGAGACTTCAGGTGCCCGAGTCTTCCGTCAAAGGTGCTCGCAGTAGGGGAGAGATAAAGCTAGAAACTCTGGAGGGGACTGTTTTTGAGAAGGAATAGCCCGAGGTGTGTTTTTTTGGGCATGGCTCCATGGCCTTGGTCAATAAACATGGTGGCACACATTTATGCTGATTTTCAATGCTTGATTGAAGGAGATGCATTTCAATTTCATATCTTTCCTCTGCTTGTGTCCATGCTGAGAGCTGTAGCTGGGAGGTGATGGCTCTTCCTTTACGGCTGGTCCATCTCACACTGCAGCCCTTCGGTTCCCTCTTTATATATTATTGCATTAATCTTTGTGCCTCCCTATGTATCTGCAAAACACTTGCATTTGCAACTCCATTAATTAGGCCAGAAAGCAGGTCAGCACTAATCTCTCTTATTCTCTTTAATCTATTGTTTTCTGACATTGCCTCACAAATTAAACTGAGATGATTAATACTGATTTTCAGTGCAGTGCTAGATGTAAGGTCAGAAACATCTTGTATTTACAGAGCAAGTGTCTCAGTTTGAAGGAGCACTATGTAAGTTATAACAGAAACACTTCATGGCACATATTTAACAAGCCAATCCACAGTAAAGTTCAGCTTTTCTTTTTTTTTTTTTTTCAGTGAGGTCAGCATAAAGAATGGATTCAATCAAAGTTTTTATCAACTTTCCTTATCATTGGGCATCTAAATACCTTTGAAAATCTATCCTGGGTGATATGCCCTGATCACAGTGGAAGTGAGTAGCAGGGTGAGAACTTGCATTATTCTCCAGTTACTCTCTGTGCTCCCTTGTGCTCAGCACATCACCTTGCAGCTGGGGAGGCTCTGCCTACCCCAGGGCTCAGGAGAGTCACCCGTGTAACCTGGCAGTCTGGGGAAAAGAGGCACATGCAAAGCTGAAGGCTGAGGACGCTGCTGAAAACACCTTCCTTTGCTCGTGTTGTGAATGGGGAGAAATAAGATTAACGGCATGTCTTGCAGAGCATTGTGCAGCGGGGATAGCTCTATTATTTCTGCTTATTGTATTTCCGTATTGTTTTTACTGAATCATTCAGTCCTTTATTTTGCCATTACATCTGCTTGCTGTATAATTTTTCAGTGTCCAAGAGCATGTTTTCTTTTCCAGAGGTGCGCACTGTTTGTTTCCTCTGGGTTGCTGACTTTTAGCTTATTTAATTGTGACTGCGATCAGGTGTTTACTTGTAATTTCCCATATCTCCCCCACTGTAGGTCTCAGAGTAACTCCGCTGAAGATGGAGTTACTTCAGAGCTATAGCATTACAATCAACAAAACCTAACCTGTCCTTTAAATTAAATTACAACTGCATAAATAAACTGTTGCTGCTTCTGCTCAGGGTCTTCCAAGGAAGCTTGCATCAGTGATGTTTTAAGACACCCATGCCTGCTTCTAATTCCTCTGTTTGAACTCTTGATAGAAATATAAATGCTGATGTGTCTCTGGCCTGCGCACTCCCTCCTTCACCTTCTTCTCCTGGAAGATTAAGATGTGATATGGGTTTGCACCAGAACCACCCAAGCTCTTTGGTCCTGTCTGGTTTGCCTGAGCTTATCCTAAGTTTTGATCTATTTTTTACCTTTTTTGCTGAGTGTCGGTTTACTGCACCTCTCTATCAATCTTGGGTTATGGTAGTAATTCATGAAAAATAATCAAAAAGTTATGGTATTTTATTTCCAAGTAATACATGAAATGGAAGAGCTGCAGCATGATTCTGTGTTTTGGATTCTGTGTTTTGCCATGTAATGTGCTGGCAGTCAAATGAACTGTCTTGGTCTACTGTTACCGCTCCTGATTGCTCTTTATAAATACTTCTGCCAGCGTTTTATTTGGGTTAAGACTGGCTCATTATGGTCAGTCAATATTCATCCTTCTGTTCTTGTCCAAGCTTGCCCATCAGTGGGATGATTTAAATAGCTGCCTGGGTTGTAAATTCCAAATGGGGTTCAAGACAGGAGGGGAGGGCTGAGATTCCTGGCACAGACAAATGGGGATGTTTCTGTCTATGTGTGGCAACAGAGCTTCACGATTTGTGGTTCTTTGTATTTGCTTTCGGGAAGGGCACAGGAGTAATGTATGGCAATGCTTTGAATGCACAGAGTGACGGATAGCCTGACCCGAGGGGGCTGGTGCTGCAGTGAGAGCTGCTGCATGGATCTGCTTGTGGTGGTCGCTGAAACGAAATAAAATAAAAATGTTGTTTGTTTTTGACAGCTTTTTGCAATCTTTGCATTTGCAACATGCGGTGGGTACTCTGGAGGACTGCGCCTCAGTGTGGACTGTGCAAACAAGTCAGAGAGTGACCTCAACATTGACATAGCCTTTGCCTACCCCTTCAGGTAACCCGGTTTGGTTCGTGGCGGTTTGTTTGCAGAGAGGCAGGCATTTGGGGGCTGATGTGAAGCCCATTTTCAGTGGGGTTTCCCGTCATTTATAGCAGCTTTTGACTAGGCACCAATCTGGGGCTCCTGAATTCTCCTCAAAGTGTTGTTTAGGCTCTGGGTGTACAGGAGGAATTAATTTGGTTAGACCTCGTGTGGATGGGGCCACAGAATCTGCTGGGGAACTGGAGCTCAGCAAAGAAGAGAGTGGTCGTGGGCACGCAGAGACCTGTAAAGGCCAGGACAGCTTAGGAAGCCACAGGGAGTGGCAAACAGCAGGCAAGGAGAAAGAACAAAACCACATCAGCCCAAGAAAAAAATGGGGGTAAAGTATCTATTAACTGTGGTGTAGCCATTAACTAAGCTGGAAATGAGGGAGGATTCCCAACCGTTAGAGTAACAAGGGTCTGGAAGAGCTACTCCATGGGGAAGGGAAAGCAAAAGGCAGAACAAGTTTGAACCATAATTTTGATATGCTTTTGAAAATTCTACTAATTGTCTGTCTTGCATCTCTTGGTGCCTGAATAAAGTTTGGAATGTAGTGACTTAGGAAAACAGATTTTATGTTGTTTAATTACGTCTGAAAGCTGTAGTGCGGTTAAATATATATATATATCTATATAAAAACGTTCACGCCATTTAGGATCCTGCTTCAAAAGAATATCCACAGCCTTCTGGTTTTAAAGATGTCAGGTCTACTCTACAAACCTTTCACTTCTGTATAAGTGATTTCTTTAAGGAATTGAGATGATTAAGAAAAGAATGCATAATCCAATCTCAAGTCTAGTACACTATGACTCTAAAATAATTTTGCTTCCCTGGGAAATCACATGCTGGTTTGCTTATGATTGCTGTGCACAGACCAGATGTAATAACATCTACTTCTTTAACATGTTCTAAAATATAGCAACTTCCAAACAGTGGAAATTGAATTTGATTCCTTGAACTGTTGTTCTTCTTTGACACACATTTGTTACTCCAAAGAGGCACATTTCCTGGTATTACAAATGTTTATTTTTTGTCTTGAACTTGTCTGCATTTTCTTTCATTTCTGCTTAGTATGCATGAGATAGATCCTGAAAATTTAGTTATGTGAATTTGTAATGTGATTCACTTCCAAATAGGTCATTTCTACAGCATTCATTACAGCATACACCCTACAGTAAAGTTCTTTTAGTTTGCATGATTATAAAATAGTACTTTATGTAAAAAGTTAACAAAATGGAGAGAAGTAGCCAGCACATATCTCCTGGTCAACCATTGCTTCTAGAAAGGAGTGGCCACATCTGCAATTTCCAACAGAAAATTGGAATTCCAGAAAATTTCAACTCCAGAAAATTGGAAATAATTACTGGGTAATTGTAACATTACATCATGTTGGAAAGGTGTTGCAAAATTGGATTTATTTGCAGAAGGAATCCAACTGAGGCTGTAGTTGGCCCTTGAACTGTCTGTGTGGCTCCCAGCTGTGGCTGGGTGTGCTCAGCATGCGCAGGTGGGGTGTATGGCATGTACACATGGTTTAAATATACCTGTAATTTGCACATGAGAAGGAAGATCACACTTAGCCAGATGGTATTTTGGGAGAAACATGAAGATGCTCAGGTTTTGTGCAATTTGGAACTTTGCAGGCAAACCTAAGGCAAGTGCAAAAAGTACCCAGAGATGTACAGATTATGTGGGGTAGTAGATGTGTGCCTGGAAAATCTGGCCCAGTGCTACCTGTGGAACTTAGTGTCATTTTATTGTTTTACCTAAATATTCCTGTGGCTTCCTCATGAATTTGCTCTTTCTGCTTTTCTCCAGTGCTTCTTCCAGAGAATGGAGAGGGGATGCTCTAGAAACAGAAGTGAGGTTAGTTGGGAAAGGTAACGTCTCATACTAGAGCAGTTGATACCCTTGGAAAAAGCAGACACATTTTAAGTTCAGGCCCTCTCATCAAGACCATGATCCTGAAGCTCATTTGCCTGCATGGGCATGTAGGCTTTGTGTAGGTAGGATGAATTTGTCACCAGCTCTCTTGCATCCAGGTCTGAAGAAGTCCATGTTCACGTGGCAGTTTCCTTTCAAATGCCTTCAGCGTTCTGATTATTGGCTGACAGCTGGGGGAGGTGTAGGTGGAAGGAGAGATGCTGCCGAGCATCTGACACGGCATTGCTGTTGTGGCTGTCAGCAATGACACTGAAGCAGTTGAATACCTGAGCACTGCTTTTTGAGCTGCGCCTTCCAGCATGGCTAGAAATGAAGAAAGCCGTGCTATCAGCTCCTTTCATTCCTGTTGCTGTGAGTTTGAGATTTTCTTTTTTTCACCTAGAAGTTGAACTGCTAGACCTTGGCTAGTGGATGACTAAGTGTCAGGAGCTTTAAGCAAGTAAACAAAATTGTGAGGCTCAACAGGACAGCTTGGCAAAGCAAGAGTACTTGGATGTTTTGGAAATGAGATTGAAGGAGCCTGAAAATGTTCCCATTAAATCAAGATCAGACAGGCAAGGGAGTTTTCCAGACTGAAAGGGGGGGCATCGCACTTGTGTCCATATGCTTCTGGTGCCCATCACCTTAGATAAAGAAAGGGAGGACGCAGGAGGGAAAAAACAGTGCCAATGGGGTCTGGAGATGTGTGATTAAAACCTATCGATTGCCAAGCTGACTTCAAACCAATGATTCATGTATCCCCAGGTCAGTCCTGAATGCACTGAAGAAGCGCTGTACTTCACAGCAGGTAGCTCCAGATGCTCCTGCAAACCAAGGAACAGCTTTATGCCCTCTCACTGAGATTTTTCTCAGCCCCAATCTACAAACTGCAGAAATCTTCATCAAACAATGTAAATTAATTCAAGGGAAATCATTGTTCCAGAAGATAGGGAGTTTTGAAGGGTACAGTTTAAACAAACAAACAAACAAGGAACAAGAAAGAATTAATATTAGTTTAATAAAATTATGGTAAAATTATAGTTCTGCTTGGCTCCTGCATTATCTTACTGCCGTTGTGACTCTGGGAGCAGGAACCTGTGGAGCACCAAAGAAACCCCCTTCACGAGGTGGTTGCTGTTTATTTCTGCCAGAATCACATTATCTTTCCAGTTCAATTCTGGGCCTGGATTCATTTGCCCTCTGAAAATGGAGAAGTGCAGAAGTACAGATAAGTACATTGATCACTAGAGAAGACCATCAGACTAATCTGATGAAGTGGTGCTTACACACGACTGGGAGAAGCAATCCCTTCAGAGAAAAGCCCATGTGGTGGGTATCTGTGTGGGGCTGTCAAGTGCCAGGAGCCTGTGGAGGCAGAGCCGTTCCCCATTTGAGGGGTACCCTGTGCTGGGGCTCCGGCTCTGGGCTCGCGCTACTGGGGTGCACTATCCATCAGAGTCTCTGCAGCATCACTACTGAGTAATTGAACCCAAATCTCACTCCACCATCTCTCCTGGAGTAGGAGGGGAGGTGGATGCCTTTCATCTACAACTACAACAATTCATTTAAGCTTCCTGCAGCCCGCACCCGTGACTCTGCAGTCACCATGTAATGTACAAAAAAACCTGTAGTCCGAACCCTAACACCCCCCAGCAGTGTCTCCTGGAGCTCTGCCACAGTTCTCTAGGTATCCTGCCAGACTCTTCCATGTCCAAGTTGATATTCATAAGGCAGTTTCAAATAATCACCTGAAGCTTTCTCTCATTTCTTCTGTCTGATTCTAGTTTTATCACAAAGGATTTCTTTACCTCTTCATGCTTTAAAGCACAAATCAGTCTTTCTTCTGGATACCTGTATATATTTCAGAAATTTTACAGGCTCAAATACGGAGAAAACTTCTCTGGTCCCACAATAGCAGCTTTTTCTCAGTATTAGGATCTGTGCTTGGTACAGTATCTATTGCAAATTTGTCACACATTAGGGTGTTCTTCAGCTTGACCCTCACCCCAGTAATGTTTCTTTCAGTGGGGAAAAAAAATCTTCATCTTGGAATTATTTGTTACTCTCACAGTCCATCACCCTTTCAAATCGAATTTGTCATTCATCCAAGTGCCCTGAGGCAATATTTCTTCCTGCAGTTAGGGTCCTGGTAAAGGTCCTATTTGTTTATATCTATTATTTTCTCCTGATCCCAGCAACATTTTTATCACGTAATTTGCTATTCATTGGTTTTACCTTAATAGTAAGTGGTTGAATAGTACACCTACTGTGCACATATTTGTTGCTGGTATTCATTGTTTTAAGGTGCTTTTTAACCAGTCCTCCTAAAATCAAATTTTCTTGGTTGCCAGCTCAGTTGTCAAGCTTGAATTACTGAGTCTGTACTGAAGATTTTTGCTCCTTAATTGTTCATGTCATAAACTTAATGTTTTTCATGTAACTGGCAGTTACACTGCAATGTTTGGGCTTCTTCAGCTACTGATTTAAATGAAACTTTGCATAGCAGAAGCGCTCTCACAGTGTTGCACCATGCAGACAGGCAGCACACTGCCAGCCAGAGATAATAATATCATTGCCTGCTGCTTGGTGGTTATCTCGCCTCTCCAAATCCCTGTCGTGACCAAGGGAGGAATGTTTGCTCAGACCCTGGCTTTTGGGTGATGCTGCACAGGGCCCATGGCAGGGGTGAGCACCAGGCGCGGAGGGGTTGGGCTGCAGGGGTCTGCAGTGCCACGGGAAGGGAGGAGCATTTCAGTACAACCTGTTAAGTGTGCTCTCTGTTAAGTCTGGAGGCAGATCCCGAACTGAAATCTCTTTGCCTTTAGCATTTGGAGATGCTTTAGCCCAGCTGACATACACAGGGTATCCCCAAGTTAAATGCTGCAAGGGGGATTCATCTGGAGTATATCTTGCCTTTTCTTGTGGCATTCATCCTGCAAGCTACTTTGAAAATATTGGCCCAGAGGATCACATGATTAAATTTTAAGCACAGTCTCACCTAAGCCAAAGGTTAAGGTAAGTATGTGCATAGGTGGTAGGAGAATTGAGCCATAGTTACTAGTGGGACAGAATGGGATTGCCTGGTGGTGCTAACGTGAGAGCTGTGCACATCTTTGTACCAGCAGTGAGCAAAACAAATGTTGTTTTCCATTTTATTTTAAATCACCTATTAGTATATTTCCAGTGTGCTAGTAAAACTGTCTCTTGAAGTAATCCTTGCTTCTGAAGGAAAAGGAAATTGTATTTTATGGGAGCTTTTAATTCACTGTCTAAGCATCTCATTTGAATAAAGACATCTCTATTGAGCACCCTTTAAAGTGTACGCCTCATCTGCATGCGATGGGTAGGCTAGTCTATCATCTGAAATATGACAGCCAGATCTAAATTGCCTACTTAGAAGCTACAGATGATAATTAAGGACAAAGTAGCTAACTCTTTGTGCTTTGCAACTATCTTTCTTTGGAAAAAGCCTTTGTTAATATTAGCACATCTCTGTGCCAGAGCGTACTAGTCTTCTTTTTTATTATCCATTTGTAGTAAATCTTGCTTCAGAATTCAGTAGAAAACATCTTGGCCAAAAGATTATAAATGTCTATTATGTCTGGGAGTCCAGGAGCTGCTGATAAATAGGAAGTCTTTAAACTAAATAATTGCCTGCGATGCTGACTTTCAGGCAGCTATGGCAGGCTCCCCTCCCAGCTGTCTTGGACTGCCGTACCAGTTGAGAGTGGGAGATAGGAAGGAATAAAGTCATGTAGTCAGTTAAACTCCCTAAAGTTCATGCTTTATTTTGCACATGTTCATTGCACAGAAGACGCCCCTTCTGCAAAGGCAAATTGTGGCCTCATAACAGTTCTGTGGGTAGACGGAAGCAAAAGCAAGCCAGCAGAAGTTGCACTAGCTTCAGGTGTGCTCTGTGCCAAAATGTAAATGTCCCAGTTCCCAGGCAGATTTGGCAGAGCTCCCAGGAGGGTGAGAGGCCCTGGTTAAACTCTGCATGACCCATTCCAGCTTAATGAAGGGAGCAATCTCCATCCTGGCACTCCTTAGATCAAAACTTGGTGCGTTTTGAAAAACTGTGCTTTTTCACAAACAGGAGTTGCAGGGTTGGTTGGGTGAAGTTCAGCAGCAAAGAGCTAAAGCTGCATGGTCGGAGTGGTCCCTCCTGGCTCTGCAGTCGGTTGGTCCATGAAAGCTTCATTAATTTAGTCTGTTTCCTTGCCAAACTGTGACCACCTCAGCTAGCACTGCAGGTATGGGCTTAACACATGAACCGACAAGGAAAGGTGTTCAATAATACATGAGTGAAGCTGAAGATTTTCTTCAATACCCCCAATTATATAAACTGGCTTTTTAGGATGGGCATGAAGCGCTCGGTCATGGCATTAATTACCTCCTTCCACAACAGTTTCAAACCCTGATCTCAGCAGTGCTTTTTACCCCTAATTTTGGTCTCTTGTTGAATAGATTTCCCTAACAAGGACTTCTAGGTTTTAACTACTGTTAGTAGAAACTGGAAATAATGCGAGTGAGGAGCCTAATGTTGCATCCTGCTGAGCAAAATTCAGCAGATAAATCCTTCAGGATACAGATATCTCAAATTGTGACACCTTCACAGAAGTATCTTCATATATAATGTGACCTAATGATGCAAAGCAGACTCAAACGTTAAGATGTATTTTTAACTAGGAAATACAGACTTTTTTTTTTTCTTTCCTTAGTTGACTTGTACATTCTGGTAATGTATAGGGATCTCCAGAAAATTGCAGTTGCATTTTTTCAAAGTCTTTTTTTATTTTCCAATGGAAACACAGTAAAAAGATTTTATTCCATAATGACATGAACACAAGAACTTTCTGAGCTATTTAAAGTATGGCCCCAGCACATGGCTTCCCTGGTGTTGAAGGCATCAGACACCTTGGTCAAGTCTCTGTACTGAAGCA